CGTAGTATATACATATATCGTATAGTGGGTGTTATTGTCATAACGGAGATGCCGTGAGGTGAATCTTTCGGTTCGTTCCAAACGACTTTTGTTACAACTCTCGATATTAATTACCGATTTTATGTTTCATTGTGAATCTTCTTTCCCGCGGGTTTCGTTTACACTACGCACACATCAGACAAGACTGTCGCGTCGCAGATCTGTTTAAACTCCATCAAATCCTGTTGATTCATTGTATCAAATACACGTATTAGATTGCTTTAATATTTTGCTAAACCGATACAAACGAAATTCGCTATTTATCATAAAAAGCGATTCCCCTCGAACAAACAATATCTGAACAGGATTTAGCCTGTAATGTATCTTTTATTAAATATACATATATTGCCTCCTGAATATTCATGTGATTGTCGTTCCTTTGTCTGAAGTGTGAGCCGTTTTGTGTTTTTATTGCTTTATATTTATATCGTACGCACTACGACTAACCGGTGTGACGAATTATCAATTTAACAATATACGTTTTAATGAATGAAAAAAATAATAAAATTTATAACGTGTTAACGCGTCCCTGATACAAACACGATTCATAAAACAACTATGTTTTATTATGGAAAAATACGTAAAATATATTAACCGAAATTTCCCTATGAACTAAGTTGTCTTAAATAAAGTACTTCTTACCATAATATATGTATGTATGTATTTGTAAGGTAATATTAAAAACCGTAAACTATTTTCTCACCCCCACCCTTCTCGCTCTAACGGAACGTACTTTATATTGTAGGAATTCCAGCGAACCACTGATATTTATAATTTCACGACAATTCACAATACTGAACTATTAAAATTCACTTAGAAAAAACTAACACGAATGACATTTAAATCAGCCATAGCTGTTTGTAATAGACGTAATTGTTTTCAGTTATAACATGCAGGTAATTAATTAATAAATTGCGTTGTTTTGTATGAAAAATAAAATTTAATTTTAATTTAACTTAATATTTGTTCGCTCAATGAGTTATTTATTTATTTTTGTACGGTCCAAGTATTGCCTCTTTATTAGGTACATAGAAATCGATTGAGCATTTTAATAATGATTTTTGTTTTAACTAAAAACCCAAGCTGACGATTGGTCATTTCAAATATAATACCTATATAATTTGTATAGGACACGTATTTAAAACAATTATTTTTACATTCTGATCGATGTTTGTCGTACTTCTCATATATTTACTGTCAAGTATAATAAAGGGTTTCTTTATATATTATTTGTATATTCCTCGCAGATCCTCCCCTCTCAAGACGGTGCACTGTCAACTCTTCAACCTGTGGTTACATCTGTTGCACGACATATGGCGTCTTTTTTTTTAACTCTACGATTTGTTTGTTCTCTTTCTCCTTCCCTCTCGCAGATCCCTATATCCTGCCATCCCTGTCCAACTTTGCCGCGGTTTTCCTTCAGTTGAATTGCATGCGGGCCGAGTGAAAGGCCCCGCGTCATAGATCATAATTTTTTATGCGGCATTTAACATTTCTATATAATTTCTATGAGATTATGTTTTAATTGCTCGATAAGTTTATTGTACGATTTATTAATGTATAAATATGTCGGCTGCGTTACACCAGGCGGGATGTTAAGCGTCCGAAACGAAAATATAAGACGAAGATTCTTGTTGAAGCAACAGTAGGAGATATGTTTATTTAATATGTCATTTGTAAGTCGATTGTTGTTCCCGACTTTTCCCACCGGTCTTTATATAAAGATCGTAACCTATAAATCATGTCGACACACGCCCACTTCCCCATAGCTATGTATGATTGATTGCTTCAAAACGGCCGCGTAAAGTAATAAGATGTTTAACTTAAACGCTCACGTCAAACTGACTCGTGGAGTAACAAGTTTATTAGCTACAAAGTCAGATGTTGGATCATCTGTGGATTTGTATTACGTATGGTGTACGGATCGTATAGCAACCTTTGTTATGTGATACCATCGCATTTATACCGCTGTTTGTGTTGTATATGAAAAATAATTACACATTACTCGGAAGTTTGATATCATTATGTGTTGATGCACTTAATATATAATATATATCAATTGAAATGCTTTTATTCTACTTGTTGTAGGGATTCTGTTGGTTATAACTGGCATCGATTTATAATATACGACAAGGAGAACACAACAACAATGTATTATATTCATCGTTATAAAAATCATCAACTGTAACAAAATACATAAGAAAACTGTAAAAACAAACTATACCAAAATAAACTTTAAGAGATGAGCTTCTGATAAAATGCTTAAGTTTTAACAAACTACTGATAATTATAATATTTATTAAGAATTTAATAATTAAATCGGCTTTAAACGTTCTTAATACATCATCATTGTAAGTTGTAAGATTAATGACCTTTTTATTTCTCACACAATAATTTTTGTGTATTATTGCATTATTAAATATACTGAGACAAAATGAGATCCAATATTTTCGCGAGTATTCATTTAAATGAAACTAATATTATTATTTTTTCGGATATACTACGCGATTTGTTTTTTGATTATAACTATGTACATACATACTCCCGACGTTTCGGTTACTTTACAGCAACCGTGATCACGGGCAGACTAGATGTATATTGAGACAACTTCATTGAAGCAAATAATGACGGTTGATTCGGAATGTTGAGTAAGAGTAATAAATGTTTAACAATCTCTAGCTTCATTAAAGTTTCATTTTTTTTATGTTCATCGTGAAATTACCAATATCATCGGCTTTTAATTAACGATCGTATAGAAAATGTAGTCTCCTAAGTGGTTATTAGTTTTCAAGTTACATTCCTTGATTTAATAGTAATTATTGGTGCAAATAAAATAAATATTTGATTATGCATCAATAGGATAATAAGGAAATACTTATGTATCAGATACCGTTATATTTGGGCGATTTAAAAGTGCATAGACATAAAACTGTTCAAAGTAGATAAGTTCTATCATTATAAATACAAAATATTGTGTCCTTAAATGTTGATATTTGAGAATTATACGAAATAATATATTACTGTATATTACTTTTAACCGTTATCAGAATATATATATGTATATATACATATATTATAATGATGTCCCATTAGCCACGTAAACTCTGAAATACAATTGACAAATAAATATTCAAAACCATTAATGCTATGGGGAATAAAACATTAACTCGTCTCACTAAATAACCAACATGCAAAACATACTATGAGAAAAGTCAATACGATTACAAGACAGAATTAATGAATTTTATCATCATTAGAACTAACTATAACCGTGTAAACCTGTAGAATCTAAATCTAATCGACCAGTGGTTCTCAACTTATTTTTTATTATAAAATTCTCAAATTCATTCTATTTCGCATACTAATTACCCTTACCCCTCCGGGTACCCGTACCAATGATTGAGAACCACTGCACCCGACAGATGAATCAGACCAAAACAAATGGCTTCGAAGTAGTTGGGAGGCTAAGCTTATAATGCAAATGAGCATTAAGTAAGGAAAAATTATATACACAGTATTAATTGGATATTCAAGATTTTTTAAAAAGAGATCTGATTATACATTTACTAATGTACTAGCTTTCCGACCGCAGCTTCGCCCGCGTGGAGTTCGGTTATATCGCGTTTCCAAGAAAACTTTTCAAAAGTCTGGGATAAAAACTATGCTATGTTCTTTCTCAAGATCAACTCTATCTTTGTGCCATATTTCATTAAAATCAGTTTAGTGGTTTAGGCGTGAAGTCGTAACAGACAGACAGAGTTACTTTCGCATTTATAATATTAATAGTTATAAAAGCACTTACTATTCTTTTATAAATTAGTTCATATATTAGGCCTCTATAACTTTTAATCAGACTTATTTAATAAGCTTCATTCATTTTGCATATAACGAAGGCCTCAAGAGGAAGTTTATATTCGATACATTATGTTATGGCCCTCATGAGCGACCAAATTACCATATGAAGTGTACGTCGCGAAGTACTGTAGAGAGCCCAAGGCTACTTACTACCTCCCTATAACACTAAATATACATCAATTTTGAGGAAAACACGAGTAAAATATAGGTTTAAATTTACAACAATTTAGAAGACTATCTAACGAAATTAATAAAGAATGTATATGAGATAATTTGTATATACAGGGTGACTGGTGAATTACTATCAATATTTAAGGAGCATACTCGGTACATGATTCTCATTCAAATTATGTAAAAAAAAATAGGCACTTAATTTTTGACCAAATTTCTGTATAAATAAATAAAGTGCGTACACGTTCCAAGTGTTCCAAGTGTGGACGCGTGCGGCGGCGTGCTGATACAACAACACGCCGTCGCGCGCGAGTGTGTGTGTGTGTGTATACCTAATCTGTAGGGTGTTCATACGATGCGTAATTAATTACATAACTTTTGGTTAACTTTACTTAGAAGTTTATTAATATTTATGTTATATTAATTTTTATTTTGTCATATATGATCGTCAAATATCACGTCCTCAAATATCGATAGTAATTCACCAGTCACCCTGTATAAATTATAAGAAATTGTGAATGTTAAGCAACGTCTTACAATGACCCAGTCCCATTCAAGCATCGGCTATGTATACCAACTTCATCCAGACACTGAATTAGCAAATTGAATGTGTATTTGTGATGTGATTATAACTTTATTAATGACAGACCCATTCAGCGATGTAATTGTGTTAATTAGGGAGAGGCCGGCCGTGGGGTCCACTCATTATTTTAGAGTTTTGTCACCAATCTATACGTATGTGTCCATTGTGGTTTTAACCTGATACGATTTAATATTTATATTCCAATATCGAATAAATAAAATTGTTTTATCATTTTAAATCTTTGCATACAAAAATCATCTGCAATCGAACATCCTACATTAGATAAGATAATTTCTTGAGATCATTGACGGTATTAAAATCGTCCGTCAATCGAATGTCGTGACGTTGAACAATGGGTACGTGTATTATAAACGGAAGCACATGTGGCGTCGTGGCGTGTGACGGCGCGCAGGTGGCCGCCACACTATCATGTGATAGGATTAGTCGGTCTGTTGGTCTATTGGTCTGACATTTCGGTAGGATGACCTATTTGGTGACGAGTTTACCGATTCCCTACGAAATTACTTTCGCTGGAAATACATATAACTGATTTAATATGAATGTGCCTATCATTTGTACATAATACGCGTTGGGTTGTCCTAATTCTTGATATGGTTTCCCCTATAATTTCTGAATGTATAATCTGTAATGTAGGTTGATATTCGAAGATTTGTTATCAGCAATAGATCGACGAAGAGAACTTATGATAATGTATAACAAGAGCCTTTTTGTATCTTTAAGTTAAATGACTAAAATTTTTCATTAAATTATAAGAATTTTCTTTGCCTATTTACGTAATTATTATATACGTGAAGTCCATCTGAAAATTAGAGATACTAATAGTAGATACAGTACGTATAATCAAAGAAAAACTTAAGAGGTTCTCATTTAGTCGAAGTAATTACGACTACATATAAATATTAAAATAATGCACACCTAAAAATTTATGGTGTCTGGTTCGGCATTGCGAAGTAGACTTCTAAGTTCTAACTTACAAAGATTTGGACCATCTCAAAGTCTATACTCTAGATCCCTTAGTAACTTTGATTCCCATTCTAGTCGTAGTTTTTCTGAAATGTTCGACTAACTGACCGTTTGTGAGGAGCGTTACAATTGAATATAAAGTATTTACTATGCTTTTTATCGAAGACTGTCACAGTGTAGCGTCTAAGAAGTTTATAGTGTTGGAATATATTTTTAAGTAATATCACTTGATTAAGATTTCTCATATAAAATGTCTATTAATTTTTATCTTTATTATAGGATGAGGTCGAACTGTTGAATGTTCCAGATAAATTAATTCTGCCGAAGCCGAGACAGCTATGATCCCTCTATACGAACATGGCAACCGAAACAAGATTGGCGAAACATACTGACATATCCTAAATATAATAATATAGATAACCGACCGGGCAAAATAACCGTAAAACATTCAAATACCTTTCCGGTCATTAGCGATGACATGAGCGGACGGGCGTAAAATCGATGCTGGAGTACAGGGTACAGCACGGCTCACGATACATCGCTATCACAGAAAAACGACACCTATTACAAACGTAATAAACATTAAAATGACATACAGATATATCTGTTGTATGATGTGTTTGTTTGTGGGTACACTGTATAGAAAACAATACGTTTCTACTTTATAGGTTCGATATAAATTTAGTACATCACAATCGGAACTGTTTGTAATCGATTCAACAATCGATTCGTACCGCGATTCGAATTGCTTTTCGTCGGACCCGATGCGATTTTTGCTTCGCTCTTAATAAACTGTCATTTTCAAATTCTGTCAGCGATGAAGATGTAAAGTGAATATTTTATGAAGTTGGTACCGTGAATAAAAGTCAATTGTTCTAACTTGTTCGATGTATGTTCATTCATTTGTCGTTTTGTTCTCTATAACACCTAAACGTCTTGAACAGTCTTTACTTTCGCTGGTCGGTAAATTGTTGGAGAAATATCATAAAAATCCCAGAATTAAGAATTATGGTTGCACATTTTATTTGTAATATAGTTTCTTCTTCTCTTCTTCTTTCCTACCTGGTAATTTCCCAGCTATAGCCAAGGTCTGCCTTACATGTTGTGAATAGTTTTGGTTAATTGTTTTTACGACCAGCCGCCTGCCTGACATCAACCCTCTTTGAGAATGCATTAATCAGTGATGTCTAAATACTCTTAGAAAGTACATATGACTCAGAAAAATCACATTAGTACTTGCCCGGGCTTGTATATATTATATAAGATATGTTTAAATAATTTTTCTTACTATTTAATAACAACAAATACTGCCTAAAGTAATAATCCTAACTGTGTACAAAATCTACCACAACCAGTAACCATTTCTCATTAAATACAAAGCCTTCTTAAAAATAAATAAAGAAACAATAAAGCTATCATTAACTTCAACAAGAGGTCAAAGGTCCCGTACGCTAGAAGCCACCAGTACTCCGTACATACGGAACCCCTCCACCTGCAGTAGGTGACACTGACGAATCATTAATTATCCCCCACCAAGACTTGACAACTCGTCACGAGACAGATCTCTCTTCGAAGTTGGATTTACTACTGACTTGTAAAAGTCACGCTAATCTCGAACCAATCCCAACGAGATAAGGCTCACGTGTCAATTCATAGATTTAAAACACATGATTGCCACATCCAACCTATGATATATTTTTTTCGAGCATCACGGTAGGCCGATGTCGATGACCGCTCTTAAAGTTTTTGTTAAACTTAATGTGCGTTGTTCTGTAATTTTCAATAAGTACATATGTTTTTGTTTCATTATTAAAATGTAATCCTATAGGTTGTAAATGTAACGATAGATAAGTATTGAAATTAATAGAGCGCTAAAGTGTTATTTGACTTTAATGTGGGAACGAATACTTGCCTCAGTAATCATATATAATTGGATGTTTGTATATATTTTTTCATTCTTCAACGGAACCACTTTGGATAAACGTTAATGCGTTTAGATTCGTGGACCATCTTCTGGGCACGTACTTAGTCATTAACAAATGGTGTACTGAGAGTTTATCATCTTCTTTTACATTATATCATTTAAAAAGAGCCAAGTCCTCTAAGAGAAGAATCGTATGGAGTGTATAAAAAGGGATCGATGATAGGAACCTGCTAAGATTTTTTAGTTTTTACACGTCTCAGCTAAGTCTGACAAATTCAAAACAGGTACAAAACTATGGTGGCAGCAAATTGACGCCGATAGAAACCATTGTCAACCTAATAGCCTTCTGATAAGAGTGAAAGTGGCGGTGATGAAAAAAAAATAACATTGGTACATTCTTGAGCGTAAAAGGACCGTGCGCCCTTTCTTATTGACTTACAATTAATTTACCTTGAAATAGAAATTTGACCGTAAACGAATCCGAGCACCGTTCGTAACACAACAAATTTGAAGTTTTTCAAACCGAACACTAGATATGAGCACGCTTTCTGAGACCGAACTAGTAGAAGTTTCGTCTTAATTGTTTCACATGGACCGATGACATTGTTGGTAAAAACTAAATTGGTATCACAATTATACCCTTTTTGTCCCGAGTGCCTGTGATAGGAACACATGTCCCGGTCATTGATTAGTGCCGGAAACCGTTCATTAGACGGCGAATTCATGCGACAATTGTATTGTGTCGCGTGATAACGGCCGCATTCCTAATTAATAAGATACATATTGAATACGGTCGCGATTTTAACTCGTTCATATTAAAAGGTCGAGTTTAAGTTAAACAGAATACACATATGTATATCACGGCTTCACACGTCTCAATAGCATCATTAAATTTCATTTCAAACCCCAATATGCCGAGCGAAGTGAAAGATAAACTCGTGTATAAGTAAATCAGTTAGTTAACTTAATAAACAAATACATGTGTTCAGAAGTTTGTAGACGTATTGTTACCATCAAGTTAGTTTAAATGGGGGCCATTAAGAGTTCTCAGAAGAGCAGTTGAAATTGCATTAATTTCCTTGGAACATTTCTGCTGTCGACAAATAATGAAGTCGGTGACGCAACAAAGGGTAGCGCGGACGTTGTTATTATCAATTGACAAACTGAAATCTGAGAGAGAAATAATGCCGGATGGAGTTTATTGAAAATTTAAAGGAAATCAATTTCATTTTATTCAAATAATTTGTAATTTTTTTATAAACTTGATAGACAAATGGTCAAGAATCAGTAGCTCCATGTCCAAAAACTAATATTAATATGGGAATTCATAGACCGAAACTTAGTCGGGCATTTTTATGCTATTTTTTTTTATTAGCGTGATGTAAGTCGGGTTCAGCGACCAGCACCTGTTGCTTGTGTTTTTTTCATCACGTCTGTGTATGGACACTCGTCTATTAAGCACTCAGTTTTTATTGCAACCTCTTAGTTATTGCCTATTGATTTATTGTTGCTCTATCATGAAGAAGTATACGTCAATGTATGTTCTGCTTCCGAATACAAGATCATATTCAGGAATTTTGAAAGGAAGCTAATTGCTATAAGTATGTGTAATGAAATAAAACTATGACGTATTTATATGCTTCTATCTCCTCTTTTGTCTTATTTGTACGTAACAACACTGCGATTTCTGCACATATTTCCATCATCAATAAAGATTTCGTAAACGATCTCTATCAAGAAATATATTATTATTGTGATTTCATTTCTTTTATAATATTTCAATATCTACAATAATTAATTATAGAGACTACTTTTATTCAGATTCCTAAAGGGACAGTATAAAATAGTTGGCAAAATATAGTCATGAGTCATCTCCTCAACCAATATCTCTTGGATCCGACATATGTATGTATCTACTTTTGAATATTTCCTTCAACAGTTACTACTGACGAACGTTTTCGTATTTATATACGAAAACGTTTGTACTTATGTACAGATAAGTGACCATAACGTAGATCGCCCTACTATTTATTGAATTTTAGAAATTAAACAATATAGCTATGTGTTATTTACTCAATGAATACCCTCTTTTTCCACATAAATCCCTATCACTTAAAACCACTACCTTGAACTAACAATTTAATATTACAAACCAGAGACAACATGTTGATTTCGGGTTACACGCTACCAAACCGTTCATCTGTTTTTCTTATTCAGTTCTGAGAGGATTACACATAAATAATTTTTTTAGATAAGATACTGAAATAACTAGAAAAGACTCGCACAGAGTACTCTAAACTATCCCATATTATTTCTGTCACTCCCAATGGATAATGAATCGTATCATGTTGTGATAAAATCAAAATTTCAACGGCACTTTATAATTTATTCCCCGTCTGCTTCGTTCTGTACAATAGCGAAAGATTTTGTAAAACATTGCCGCTCCTGAGCTTAATTCAAGTGCACTTTTACGACTTTTAAAGTGCCCATTACATGGGTAGGACCACGAATTTTAAGTCCGTCGCGAATAGATACACTTATAGCTACGACATATTCATTATTTCACCCCAAAAAAGTTTACCAAAAATGCATTTAAAGAACCGAGGATTCACATAAATCCAAGTCAACCGGAGTAGCGCAATTCTTTATACATTCTATATATACAAACTAGTTAATGCTTGACTTTTATTCCATCTGATGATAGGTGAAAATGAAGTCCTAAGTACACTATCCCAGAATGTGCATATACAGTATTAAGTCAGCTTTTCCGTCGACAAAAATCGATTTTATATAATCTAATAAATTGTTGTTTTCTATCAACAGATCTATCGAGGTATGGCTGAAGACAGGAAGACGTCACAGCGAAATCCTAGAAGAACAGAAGACGAGTGAAGGAAGACTGAGAAGACCAGGGTCTACTATCATACTGTGGCTGAAATGTGACCAGGTTAGTGTCTCATCACTCTGCATCTTTTTGTGTCCGCTACAGCTGACCAGAAAAATATTTTTACTACCAATTATAAACAAAATATCGCCTTATTCTCTTTCCGATACTACTAACAGTAGTTGGAATATTTTTAATTATTTAATTAAAACGCAATCAACTCTCCTTAATTATATTAATAGATGCAATTTAATAGCTCGTTTAATAGGAAGAATAGGAATACCATTAAACGTATTACCATATTAAAATGTGCATGTTCGGTCATTAGCTCCACTATTTACTTCTTGCATCTAGGTGTGTAAAAAACGTAAACAACGGGGTCACCTGCGCGCCGAGATTGGCAGGTGGTGCGCATGCGCATCTGCACAACAATACACATGAAAATATACTCTATCGCTATAAAAATAAAGTTCAATTCAGTATGCGTTCGCGTCAGCAAAGGGTTGAGTTTTTTATTGCACATGCTAGTTTATTTTGACGTGAATCGTAGGGACCACCTCGGACGGTGTGTTGACCGGCTATAGCGGAATTTACACGACGTGTTGATAGTAAAGAGCGTGTGGAACATTCGCGTAGACAAAGGTTTACCAACATCTGTTTAGTAATTATCAATTTAAAACTTGTCTCAATAAATACATTTTTACAATTATCTTTATCATTTTATTATCATTTTATTGCTTATTCAAAGTAATTTCTATAAATTTTAAATAATATTACGGTTGCACTTTTGTTCATCGATTCAACGAGAGAACCATTAAAATAGCAATATTTGTCTCTTGATAATAATTCAATAAAATGTATGACAAAAATTAAACATGACTCAAATAATAAACAATGTTTGAATATAATTTTCAATTAAAATGTATTATGGTTTTATAATGAGTCTGTATCTTGTTCCAAGTAAGTACTACAACTCGTAGGCGGTCTCTGGATACAACTGTAATATTCAATTAATATTGGCTGTTCTTGAAAGTACCTAAGTACGTGTTGGTGTTATCAAACTGAATACTTCTAGTATCGAGGTTTTCTAATAATCTTCATAAATAATATTAAAGACTTAGATTAATTGATGAAAAACTTTTAAACTATAAGTGTTAGACGCTAACTAGTTCTAAGATTCTTTTATTCAATTATAATTAACTGCTATTTATTATGGGACGTTTAAATTGTTTTGCGGTCTAAATCCATTTTGGGATTAAACTCTGCGTAATAAAAAAGTTACAGATAAATTTAATTTCTATATTAAGTAAGGTGTATTATTTAACCGATTTTAATATGTAATTACATGTAATTAAGGTATAGAATCGTTTAGCGTTAATATAACAAAACCCTAATCTTAGTAATTATTGAAATGTTAGTAAAAAAAACTATTTATATATCTGTCATCGAGCAGGTGTAGTGATAGATCGATCCTATGATAAAATAGTAATTTACTACGTGAAACATAACTTACACTCATTATTATAATTTATTTTATATAAAATATACAATTACCATATTTTTTTGCATCAAAAAAAATTATTCGAAGCTTATTCTGATTCAACGTTTTTTTTTTAAATTTAATTAGAATTAATTTTCGTTATCGCCTAGTATAGGAGTCATTAAAAATATTATGCTAAGGTTGCTTGTATAAAAAAATGCTAGAATTTCATGATATGCATCCCAGCGAACAGCTGAGAACCTTCTGATAGCGTGTGTTGTAAATTAAGGATACTCATTATAGTAATTTAGAAAATCGGTAAAACCTTTTTAAGAGGCACGCGAGCTTACACCTGTTGGAGACGCCACATATACAGCATGTTCATTTTATAATTTTAATATAATTATTCATTAATGAATCTTTATAAAATTTATATAACACACCCTGTATCACAGATATATCAATACTATCGATAGACGTTGAGAATGAAATAAAAATCTATATTTATAATTCAACTCCAGATGAATCTCTCGTTCTTTGATCGTCAAAGTTAATAATCTTTTAATCTTCCCATTATGAAGGGTAAAGAAACTCGCATTATATATCATATAATAATGGATGATGCTAATTAAAAAGTTAATTGGTTAAATTTAACGATCGCCCTGTATTTACAACACCTGCCTTTGTTTTTATCTTGGTCCGTCATGATAGCTTTAATAAAGCAATGAGCATTACGATAGGTCATACATACTCGCAGGTACCTGGCTCGCGTTATATATGTACATATGTATATATATTTACATGTAAAGCAGACCCAAGCTTAAGCTGAAAAATGGCCAGGAAGAAGAATGTATATATATACTTTTTTTTCTTATTAAATTTAATGTCCGGTACATAAAATTATAAGAATTGGCTATTTTTTTCGTTTAAGAATTAAACCATATAGAAAAGTATAGAATTATAAAAATAATAAGATTTTTTTTAACAGATTATATAAGTTCAGTGATCAAATATTATTTTCTGCCTGCATTTTTAAAACGATTTTAATTTAAAAGATAATCTAAATATTCTTCTCTTCTTACAAACTTGATTTTAAAAATTGTAAATAATAAATATATGAATAATAAAATTATTATGGCAATGAATTAGCTTGAATGAAGCGATGTAAAAGTATTTTATGCCGTTTTATTTCTGTTAAAGGTTTTCCAAAGATTACTCCAAACATTTAATCATCATTCAGAAAACAAATATTCCATAATTATTAAGTAGTGTATAGAATGTAAATCATCAAAAGAAAATACATTGAGTATTGAAAATTATATATACTTTTTTAGGTAGTATGGGTGTTTAAGATTTTCAGTAGTGGATCTAAAAATTAAGTAATATTTATATATTTTGAGACATGACAATATCAGAGTAATGAATCAAATGATAGTTTTTTAATATGTATATAAAACCAAAATATAATTAATTTTCACTTATATTTGTATGGAAAATATGAAATAAAGTACGTCACTCACACAATCCAGTACAATCATTACTGACACAGCATCCCAGCGATCAGTTGATCGTCCCGTCTGCCACATATTGATGCATTTACCGAAATCATTGTAAGTAGTGACATTACCTTATAAATATAATGCGTCATTTTCTCTTTACTATATGTTATTACAAGTTTGAAGGGGGATATTTTAGTATTTCAAGTTTATTTCAGGATTACCAATATATTTATTTGAATTCTTATATCCAATTTTTTTAATATATTTAATTAACAATACATGCTTAGATGTATGACGTCATTCTGCATCCAACATGGCGGATAACTCAAGATATTTGTAATAAACTCTATCAATATGAATATATTGAGTCACCAAAAAGATTTTACCGTAACAATTCTATCACAAGAGTTTTAATTCTGAAGCATATCTTATAAATTTATTTCTATTAATTTTTCTTAAAACTGAACACTATTATTAATTTTATAATGACATTTCGAATGTAATACAAACATTGACATTTAAAAATAAACCTAATCTCGAACGTAGAGAACAAAATTATAGAGTAAGTAATAAGTGTATCTCAAGTTTAGTTCAAAAACAAGTCTACAGAATCTAGACGGTATGATTAAAATATTGTTACAGAAGAAAATAAACATATTTACTAACTATTGTACAAGAATTCATGTTAACAAGCACTCACACTATAACAGGTTATATGTGAACTGTATACTGCAAACTGTACAGTGTATACTGTAAACTGTGTATGCACACACACACACTCGCACACACACACACACACACACACACACAAATCGGAATATCCATGACTGTTCAGACCAGTGTTGTCAAAATTTATCGTGTTTAATTGGACTTGCTTACACGTGAAAGGAAATAAAAATCTTGTAGCGTCTTTATTTGTTACTCGTCTTATATATTTTTCAATGATATTGTTTGTATCAGGTCTGTATACAGCGATCGTATCCCCTACTCCGTTCGTTTTATTCATATACAATAGTAATTTAGATTGTCAGTAGTACGTACCAGGTGTTTTTCTATCTATTCTCAATGAATTCCCTCGGTAAATGTACGACGCTGTGAATAGTTGAAATACCAAAGTTGTAAAGAAAGGCTGTTTGTTTGTCAAACGTTTTTCAAATGTATAAATATCGTGGAGTTCCTTGTACCTGTTCTGGTACAAGACATAAGCGAGGGCGATTAATTTATTACTTTATTGAAGTGGTTTCGTACGATTTTTTTTTTATTTAAAGTATTCGAGTAAAGGTTTGTATAGAAAATAAAATAAAAAGGATCACATATGTAATGAAAATATTTATTTATAACGTACTATGTATAGTGAAATGCCGAATACAATATGCAAGAAATCGCCGGACCAAATCCTGTTCGTTTCCATCATTCAAATTACTTATTTCTTAATTCAAGGACTTCTGATGTTTTACGATGTTCCAATTACTAAACCAAATAATACAACATTCCTGAAAATTTTACAGAAAAGTTACAACTTCAAATAACTTTCACAAAAAAATCAATCTTGAATTGCAAATATCTATTAAAATTAAAACTCACATAAATTCGTTACGTATGAATGTGAAGTTAAAAGATTTTATTAAAACGCTACCTCTTATGTGTTAAACCGCTCGTCTCGGATGGTAGCGGGTAGCGGGTAGCAGAGCTGCTCGTTTCACACCGGCCAAATTGTATAACCCCATTTGCATAACCATTAAGGAGCATTGTTTATTTTGGTCAAAATGACCCGACCGCTGGTTAGTATGTTTATTTTTTTTACGTGACCTATACAGTTCGGTTTGATTTTATTTTCGTGTTGATTACTCCTTTGTTTTTGTTTGTTTATTACCAGTGATGTGTCGGCGTTTTTTATTGTATTCATTCAATGGAAAAATCTGGAATGAATTCAGAACAAGATTTAGTATTTACGTTATGTTCATTATGTTCAAACGTCGTCTTCAATCAAACTATACTGAGTAACGTTTGAAATATTCCCTTAGTCAGGCTACTTTTTTTATTTAAGCACCATTTAACTAAACAAAAAAGTGACTTAACGAAAG